GATGGATGGATGGATGGATGGATGGATGGATGGATGGATGGATGGATGGATGGATAAATGCACACACATACATACACTCACATGCTTGATAGACATAGCATAATAGAATACAGACAGTAATGTTAATCAGCTTGGTTAGCTAGCTAGTTTCAAGAAAAGTGCTCTGTCACAACCCCTCCCTATGCCCACAAAAACACTCTCACACACGCATTGTCCATCATTGACATTTCATCATTCCTGTTGTAAAATTGCTGTTGTCGTTTTATTTAAAAAATGTTAGAACATTGTGAGTTCAAATGTTCTACAAATTGTTCTTTCTAAAAAGTGAAAAATAGAAATGTTTCAAACATGAAATAATTCTTGTGTGAAATAAAACACAGTAGAAAGTATTATACAAAATATTGTTTTGAATCAAAATTGCAAAAGTAGCATAAAAACACTTTGATTGTAACCTGGGTCAAAAAGATCCAGTCACAGAAGACTGTATAGTCAGTCACTCACACATCAGAGGGTTATTGTCACTGCTGTTGGCCTCTATTAACTTCAGTCTTTGCAAAGACAGGAAAAGTGTCATCCTTTGATGTACTTTCTGGAATCCATGTTATTTCCCTCCTATAATGAATAGTAAACCTCTTGTAATCATGCATCAGAATATATGAACAAACTGTAAATCTTTGTGTTGCAGAGAGGATTGCTAATTTTTTAAAACCGAATGTCCTGACCAGGTGTTTTGTAGGAACTGTCATTTATAAGGGTTTCCACTGTAAATGAAGCCTGTTGTCTGCACAGGCTGCAAAACTTTATGCTGAGCTGCAGCTTCTCCATCAACTGCTCATATCAAGCGATGAATCCTTACAGCTGGAGCTACATTTTGACTGAAGTGTCAATCAGATGCTTCGGCAGGTTTGTTGTTGTGATTATTTTCCCTTCTTGGATGCAAGTTTAATTATTTTCTGTCTCTGCTATGGCCTCTTTATCAGGCAGAAAAGATGTCTGAATTTCAGATTTGCATGTTTGTCTCATGAAGAAATTAAGCCACGCAAAGCCCTTCATTTGTTCCAGCATGGTCTTTTTCTAGTCACTCAGAAACAGCAGCACAATTGACTAAGTGCCAGAGGACCAGACGTGAGCATTGGCATTGAGGAAGTCTTAGACTTAGAGCGTAATGTTTTGGAGCATCCAACAAAAGCCTGGGGATACGACATTGAGTCTTTGTGAGTTCAAGTTTTGCTTGATGCTTAGTGAGAGGTGAACCATGTCCGTGGTAAGCAGTAGAGTGCTGCTTACCAGGTGCCATATGCCCTCTGCATGTGCTGCAGATGCAGAGGGCACTTTATGTAAAGTTTACCTTTAAACTTTAAACTTTTAAAGGTTAAACTTTACATAAAGTTTGTTTTGGCTGGTTTTCTGCCTGAGTCTTGTGGAAATAATAATAATAATAATAATAATAATAATAATAATAATAATAATAATAATAATAATAATAATAATAATAATAATCTATCAGTACTGAGAAACCTTCATCAGCTGATACTTATGGGTTTTATTATGACAATGTATGTGTCCAATCTGCAATGTTCAGACTGTCATGAAAAGATCAAATACAGTTTGCATACCTAATTATCTAATTTGGTTAATTTCACACAGAAAAGAAAATGAAAATCGAGAACTAAGTGAACCAATTGCAGAAAGAGGAAGTTTAAATCACTAGTCTTACGTAAACTGTCAAAACACAAATTGCAAATTCCCCGTCCAGTGAAAAGGACAATACCATTTGAAAAGAAAAACATAATCTCCTCATGCGTTCAGAGGAAATGGGTTTCTCTGGCTGGCTGATCAGAAGACATTGTCAGTAGTGAGGCTTCATCTAATCCAAACTCTGTATCACGTCCAACACTGAATGTGTTTATGATTTGGAAAACTTATCATAAGGAAAGTCTACATTTAAAAGCTGTAAAAGGAAACATTGAAGTAAACTATAATTAAGTCTTTTACCTTTGTGTACTCAGACCTTCATGTTGTTGTCCTTTGCCTGAGGCGTTTTATTTTGAAAGAAGCATGAAATGGCCTTTAACTTCGAGTTAAAGGGGCACAAACCTCCTGTATCTCCCATTGATTTGATATACTCAGATTTCCATTCTTTTCATTAAGCTCAAATTAAAGGTTGTACATACGTAGAACAAATATAAAAATTTGATCCAGAGTTTATTTAGCTATTTTTCCAAATTCCTATAAGTTCTCAAGTTTCTTAATTTTCAGACATACTAGAAATCAGCTCTCTACATCCTCTGAAACTTTGTCATGTTGCTTAGGTCAGGATTTATTCCAGTTTTATTGCCAGCTGATATCAGATTAAAACCCCCAGCTTGATGAACTGGTGCCCCCCTTCAGGTTAGAAGATCCAACAGTCCTTCACTGGGCCAACACAGACAGACATGCTCATACTCTCTCATCTCAGAGCAATTTAATTTCACTATTTAATTCACCATCCATGTTTCTGGATGGTGAAATGAAACCAGAGTATCCAGACAAAATAACAAAACAAAACAGGGTGAAAATACGAACAGACCACAGACGGGATCTGACTGGGACTTTTATGAACCTGACACAGTCCTGAAGTATTACTGAAGTATTGCTGGGTAAAGTCATACTCAAAACAATAAATACATTCCAAAAAGTTAATAATTTTAGGAGGTAGTGAACAAGCAAAATTTTGAAGTAGCCCTTTGGGTGGCCTAAATTCCTGAAGGACCAGAATTTAAAGCCCATTTCTGAGTAGTACTGATATACTTTGCCCTGGGTAATAAGAAACCCCGCTGTAATAAACCTGTTGTCGGAAACATAATGGAAAAATCTTCAGGCCTGGTTCTAAGCCTATTGCCAGTATCCAGAGGCTGCTAGGCTCACTGCTATCAGAATTTAAAGCCTATGAAAAATGGAAAAGGGCACATTGTTAGCTCCAGGCCTGGCCACACACTCAGCCCTTGGGCAAAGGCCCTAGCCCATAACATCTTTGCCATTTTCCTCAGCTGTGTGAGTGTGTGTGCTTGTTCCACACACAGCTCTCCACTGACACTAAATTGGCAACACACTGTTTTGTCATTGTGATGAAATGAGCCCTGATTGCCCAGTTCTTTGCCAGGTAAAATAAATGTGTTATTCTATTACAGCTTGATAGACCTGCCTGCCTAAAGGTAAATTCAAAAAAGTCTTTAGCAGTGCAAGGTTTGCCAGAGGCCTTTTTGGCTCCTTCCAAGCATTTTTTGCCAAGTGACAGGATGGCTGCCAGTTTCCACAGCAATCTCCGCCACCTGTGATGGATGGCCCAGTGGGTTAGTCTACACAACGCAGCTGTGATTGCACAGAGCCATAATGGAGGAATAGAAAGGGGGAGGGGGACCTGTGAGCAGGAGATAGACAGAGGTTTTATAAGCTTTCATTTGCTTTGAGCAGAAATATTGAGAGTAGATTCAAAGCTTAGAGACTGTGGAGAATTAGTTGCGGTCATCCATAACTGCTCCAGTTTGCTCTGTGCCCTGGCAGAAGAATAAGTGAATAAAAACTGTGAAATTTTATTTCCAGTCAGGCAAAGCAGAGAGTAGTTAGGATTAAACACCAACAAACAGAATTTTGTTATTAAAGGGAGAACCTACTTCCATGCAGATTGTTTTTTTTTTTCTTTCTTGTTTTTTTTTCTTTTTCTGTTGAGTCTTAAGTTGTTCAAACTTTGGTTTAACGTGATCAAAATGGGCGTTGGGTTCAAAGACTGCCTTTTCATTTAAACCTACATAAAAAATGGAAATGTTTTTTTTTTTTTGTGATCAAACCATGTTTAAATTAGAGGTTTTTATTTATCATACAAATTATTCCCAAAAGTATTTGCTCACCCATCCACGGCAACAGCTGAATAAAATGAAGCTCCTAGGCATGCAGACTGTTTTTACTAATATTTGTGAAGGAATGGGTCACTCTCAGAAGCTCTCCTAATATATTAATCTTAATAATAAGAGTATTAAATAATGTGTTTGTATATTTTGTTCATTATTTATATTGTCTGCTTTCTTAATTCATGCAACTGTGTCACCCCCTCATTTTATGCATCAGTGTGCCGTGGAAAGTGTAGTGTCTTGTGTTGGGTCAGCAGCATCCGAACCAGGGTCAGAAACACAGACTGGTTCTGTTCTGGTTCTGAAAATGATGAGGCAAAAAAGAATTCTTCAAAAACATAAAAAAATATTACAGACAAACCAGAATATCAGTGTCACCTTCCAGGGAATTCTTCAGTAATACAGACTGCCACAGGAAATCCTTTCTGACCACAATAATTAAGTTATGCGACGACACTTTAAAGAAAATTGTAATATTTAATTTCCTAATATTTTAATCAAATAGAAAGTCTTACTTGCTGTATGTTTGTATTTGGTTTAATATATCTTGGCGATCATAATGGGAATAGTCTAAGTGATAATACTTGATTTCATAAAGTGCTGATCTGTCTTTCATCTGTACTATTGATAAAATATGTAAAATGAAAAAATAAAACAAATCAACCAAACTCCCAGAGGTTCACATGTCTGAACACAGCTGACAAAAAGGTTCTGCAGCCAATAAAGTCTCTGTTTTACCATGAACACCCTTCATCGTGGTTGTTTGGGAAACCCCAGATTTTTGATGGTTTTTTAAAATCATCAAAATAGTTCCAGCATTTAAGATTTTGGCAAGCTGTGCCTCCAAAAATAGAGTGAAGGTTCTTCAATTTAGGAAAGGAAAATATGTTTGTTGGGCTGTGGCTGACACAATATCATACAATCATGAACAGATATTAGGAGCACAGTTTATTCAAACATGATAAAACTGTCTGAATCAGGCTCCTTAAATTCCTTTTAGGTTTGGTTGTAGAGAGAGAAGCGCACAACACCCGCTGCAGATCACGCTTCAACATTTTTTAATTATTTCAATATAGTTAACCAATAGCTCTCATTTGCTTTGTTTTTCTGCAGAGAGACATGTTGGATGTCAGTCAAATAATGAAGGATCTAGCCAGTATGGTCCACGAACAAGGAGATACAATTGGTAAGACATTGTTTTATTGTGTTTTTTTCTCTTTTTTTTTTGAAAGGTTGGTTCATTTGACAGTTAGAAAAGTTCATAACAAAACTGTTAAAACTGCTTCCCTATCATAAAAAAATTCTTCCGGTCAAAACAAACTTTTCAACCTTTGCACCAGAAAAGCTTCTCTGACGTGAAGCAAAATGCTGTCGGGATTACACAGACATTGGTCTGTGAGAGAAAATCCAGTTAGATGCTCTGATTTCTGTAAATGCTCCTCAGTTCCCTGAAGTGTTTTACCCTGGGCAAGAAGAATGAAACGTAGCACCGAGATACAATTACTCTGCTGCTAGGATTGTTCCATCTGGTTTAATCAAGAACACTCAAAAGAGAATTGATCTCTAATAAATGTCAAACACCTGTGAAGCTAAAGAGACATACATGGAAAATGTTGAGCTGATTGGGTGGTAAATCAGTTCTGGATCAAGGTGAAAGGTCTCAGAATATAGATAGATCCAAGCTGAGAATACTGTCCGTAGCTTTGTTTGGGGTTTGCAAAGTTTAGTTGGTGAAGGAGAACAAACTGTTTCAACATGGATTTAAGGCTGCCACAGATGTTTGAACATAGGAGGATAGAGTAAGCAAAAACTGTACCTTAGAGTAACATTACTTCAGTATTTATCTGGAAGTAGTAGAAAAAAATCCATCATGTAGGAGAAAAACAGTATTTGATTAAAAGAACAACTCAGTCACCAACTGATTATAGATTTATTTAGTGGAAAAAAAGTATTCTACAGAAAAATATATAAAGTAACTTAAAATAATAAATTGAAGCAGAACAAAGCACATATTTTCAAATGTTTATTTCTTTAAAACAGAAAATGCTTGAAACCCATATTTAAAGTTGGTAATATGTAAAAAGTGTATGTTATGTAGATTCAATTTAAAACCTCAAATGAACCTTATAACCTTTCAAAGAAGAGCAGACTTATTTCTGAGAGTTTTTTCATCCTGATTAGCGTCAGAGCAATGCTCACTGAGCATTGCTTTTTTAAGTGAATAGTCTTTTGAGTATTTTGGTAACAGCTGCAGTAGTTTGGGGTAAAACTTTAGATTATATTTAAAGATAACTACACGCCATTTTGCCAATATCATAAACCATAATAGTCAAAGATGTTTATGCATGACAACTTTTGGAATCCTGTATGAGCCCCCAAGAAACTGCTGTGGCATAAAAGCAAATAAGATGAATTCAATATGAAGAATGGGGCAGTCATTCTTCACTCACAGCCTATTAATTGCAAAAAAAAAGAACCAAGGATAATGAGTTTGGAAAAAAAAAAGAAGAAAGGAAACAACAACAACAAAAACTATATGTTGTCAGCCAAATGCCAACCTTGAGCTTAAATAAGATGATTAACACAGTATTCCCGACACAGCTCTCTTTGTGATCCATTCAGTATGTGAAAGCGAAAAAGGTTAATGATCCTGAGAGCTATTCTTGTTTTTTCGCTACAAGTAAAAAAAAAAAAAAAAAAACAAAATGGATAAGCCAAAATGAACCACAAAGTTTTTAAAACAACATAAATTGCAAGGTCAAGGATACTAGCCTTAAAATTAGAATAAGACTCACTCTACAAGGGTGAGAGAGAGATGTGCTATTTATTTATTTATTTTAATTTTGGAGGTGTATCAAATGCTGCACTGTGTTGCAGTTTCTAAATAGGATTTAAGATGAGTCTCTTTTTGCTGCTCAGGTACAAAAATAAGTCAAAGTATTTTCCATTTTCTTAAAAATACATTTTTGACATTAAATCAGCTTTAAGAGGTTGGTTGGACAATTTTTTTTCCAGAAATTACAGAAATTACACTAATCCATATGAACATTTTATTTTATTTATTTATTTTTCAGATGTGTTTTATTAACCACTGTCAGATTTTTGTTATTGTTGCTGCATGTTGCAAGACCATGAACAGATGATAAAGTCGAGGGAAAACCTTAAACACATTACTTCCTGACATCTTGGAGAAGAAATCTACCAAGATATCAGGAAGAGACTGGTGGATCTCCATAAGTTTGGTTTATTATTGGCTCCATTGAGATCCCTAAGGCTAATTTAACAATTGAATGCAAGAATAAATGCCACAGAAATGTTTGTCTGGCTAATTCTGTTTTTAATACATGCAGTTGTCGTGGAGAAAAAAGAAGCGTAGGACACCACAATGCCGGTAGCCTGCTCTATTTGGCCACTCCTAATCGCTACAAAAGCCTTTGTGAGAGCATTTAAGTAGAAGGGACTAACATCAATATTTGAATTTGAAGCACGTTGCAAAAGTGTACCCAGTGGAGCTCAACAAACAGAAGGAGGACATGAGTCGTTTTAGGCAGACTGAAAACCAGATATACCTTCATCCTCTGGACTGTCTGCAGAGGTTTGACAGGAGGAAGCTTCTGTTTTAGTCGAAACCGTACCTGATCAGATAGACCACATCAGGAGCTGGGTGATATGTTGGGTTAGGTATGGTCTGATCTTTCTTATGATGGAAAGCAGCATATTACGATGAAGAAGACCACAAGATCTTAATAAATCAGCTTCAGTTTTCAGTTGTCCATGATTACGGCCACCTAAACAATGTCCGTAACCATGCCACTGAATTAATTACAGAGAGCTTAAAAGATGTAAAAAAGAAAAAAACTTTTTCTTTTCTTTTCTTTTTATAATAAAGCTTCTGCTGCAAAAAAAATAAAAAAATAAGTACAAAAATGTAGCAGCATGCAATTCAATGAGAAAATATATGTAAAATTGTGAATTTGAAGAAAGTTCAAATTACAAAATCTCAACTGTCCAGCAAAGTTTGTAAACAATGTGGAAACAATGTAGCTTTATTTGATCTCAAACATAGAGGGCATGAAAGGTTGTGTCTTTTTTTGCAGTGAATGTATCTGCTGACTTTCAGTGTTGATGTGGATTTGCATAGTGGAGGAACATGGTGTGCCTCCATCCAAATGGGCGAACAGAGAGATAGAGGAGGACTTAGATCAGGGGTGCCCAAAGTCGGTCCTCGAGGGCCGGCATCATGCAGGTTTTAGTTCTCTCCCTGATAGTACTAACCTTTTCGGGATGTCAATGTTCTTCTTAGGCCTTCTAGCAAACCATCATTTGATCCAGGTGCGTTAAACCAGGGAGAGAACAAAAACATGCAGGATGCTGGCCCTCTGGGACCGACTTTGGGCACCCCTGACTTAGAGGAAGACTTCATTATTCCACAGCAGAGGTCCAATCTGAGCATTATAGAGTCAGGCGATAATGGACCTTTTCCCATTAAAAAGGGATGCACTGAAATTGCCGTTGGCCTCTTTGTGAACATGGCTATTTTAGTGTAGTAGCATATACGAATAACATATGACTGCTGTAGAGGTGTGAGCAAGAAAGGCAACAGACAATACAAAGAAATGAATAGATTGTTGAAGAACAGATTTGTGCTCTTATTTTCTATTCATGGTAGCACATGAATATAGGCACACTATATGGGCCTATTAGTGAAGGTATGTTGTCAACAAGGTTATTTTAGCATTCAGATACTGGTACAGGAAACAAAGGACATGTTAAAGCCTGTCATTTGTACAAAGCTGGAAGAGACATGGTTTTCAGTTAGCAGTGTTAAACTGAATATGTCGAGTTTTCAGTTGGAAAAACGGAACAGACTGAACAGATTTTAAGAAGGGTCAAATCATTGCCACCAAGCAGAGAAACAATCCTAGAAGCTCACATAAACTGTCAATATTGTATTAAAGAAGCAATATTGTTTATTTTCTTGGCAAACTGTGTCAATTCATAGCACAATTGACCATGCTAGTGTAACCCAGTGTTAAGAACCCAGGTGGAAGTTGGTGATGTTAATTTGATGGGTTTTTTTTGTGTGTTGTTTGTTTCACGAGATTGAAAAGTATAAATAGATTTTGTGTTTTCTTTTGCTTAGAAAGATATATCCAAACGTGCTAAAAACATTGTTAAAAACAGTTTAAATAATTAAATAGGCCATTAATAATTGTTTTGCTGATGGATTGGGCAACCAATGGCTGGCGTGGTCTGACATTACATCAGCCAATGGGGTTGGTTGTCCCGCCCCTTTCACTACTGCGCTGTGATTCTACTCAGAGCACGTCAGACGCAGTTGAGAACTAACAGCTGACCGTTGTTTTCGTTAAGAGCCTGAGAGAGATTATAAAATCTGGACAAACGTTTCTTTGAGAGCAGCTGAGGCTGGAAAAAAAAATCCCCGGTAGAGTCAGACACTGTCAGAGCGTTGGTCAGGTTTTTTTTTTGTTATTTCGGTGCACTTTTGGACTGGAGTGCCCTGAGACTTCAAGACCCACTTCTGAATTTGGATGGCGAGCCCCAGCCCAGAGAACCCAGTGATATGGTTGATAGTGACCCGACTGGTCACTATTCTTGAAACACTGAGAGGATCGACTGACACACTGGAAGAGACTGGACAAAAACTGAATCGACTGAGACATTGACACGACTGTTATTTATTTTATTTTCTGTTTGCAAAAAACGCGCACTATTTTGTCACAATTGTATATGTGGATCCACAATTGTTTTATTATTAAATTTTACTCTTCCTTGTTGACACTTTGTTCACTCCTGTGTTGTCATTCACACCTAGGCTCTTTAGAATTTAGAGTCTTTTGATCCGGCCCAACTTCTTTTTAGATATACTTTCATAGCATTGGTGTTAGTCAGAGAAGTAAATTAAATTTTCTGCCTTTTGCTATTATTAAGTGTATTTAAAGTAACTTGTGGGTTACACTATATACTCCAATATGACTTTAAAGACTTCCGTCTTTGCAATTTCGCAAAATTGCAGAGAAATTGGGCCTCTGTCTCTTTAAGAAGCTCCTCCTTCTTCAGACACTCCAAATCCAGCACACCATCACAAAGTTTCTCCATACACCCTTTTACTACTGTTTTGCTTGTGTTACAATAAAAAGTAGCAGGTATGATGACCTCAGCATATGTGCACAGATTGTCAAATATTGACATATTGTCAACGCCATTGTTAAAATGGCATTGTCAATATGTGTACGCCATATTGTCAACGTCAATATGGTGTTGACATATCTCAAGATCCCTATGCCAGAACTCCCATGATCAAGTTGTGAAAGAGGAATTCAGGGCGCATGAGAGATCATTTTTATAGATTGACAACCACAGAGTTAAAATGCAGTTAACCCTCCTCTGAAAGCTCAAACCGCCCCTGGCAAATTTAGAGACAAGAGACATGGTGAAGTGTAAGGATAAGTGGAGGGGGTGAGTAGGGCTGTGGTCAGGAAGAAAGAAGCTCTTTTGTCAACTTATCTAATTTGTTGGAATATTTATCAATCTTTCAGACTGCTATAGTGACCTTTTTTCAAAACTATTGATGAATCTAGCAACTCTTCTGTGTTGTTGGAGACTTCTATCGTGACAACGCTATAGCCTGTCTATCTTAGTGATCAGCGAGTGCCACCATTAGCCCCCATTAGCTTTCCCCAATTTCTAAGCACTGCAGTCGTTCAGCACCAAACCTTCACCAAATATTCAGAGCAAACCAGACCCATTCCACTCTGTGCCTGCCTTGCAAATAAATCAAACAGTCATAAGAATTGCTATGGATCAATGCAAACCTGTCACCATGGTAACGCTCGCTACTCCAACTCCTTACTTGCCATGGGATTGGAGCAAGGGAATAGGATAAAAGGGGTGGGCTTTTATATCCAAATACAGGGCTGTGGAGAAGTTGTGCCAAGCTATACCGCTGCAAACAACAGGAAAGTTCAACTGCCTAAGAATTGTTTGACAGAAAGAGACCAGCAGAGATGATTTTAGGCAAAATAATGCCAAAATAAATAAAATGCACAAAAATGACAAAACTTTATGTTGCAGAGAAACATAAAGGTGGAATGCTAAATAACACAGACAGTTAATTAGCAAAAAAAAAAAATGTTTTGGGGATGAATTACTCTTTAACCCCACAAATAATCTATGAGATGTTCTGGAGAAGGATTTGCTCAGTGGTCAAACTCTTCCACTAGAAAAACAAGGTCTCTGTGAAAAACTAATGTAACAATGGATGGACAATTTTATGACATTGAGATGTTTATTGAAACAATGCCACGTGAATGTGTTCCCTAATCAAAGTGAAAAGCAGTCCAAAAAAATATGAATGTGACTTTTTAGGAGGATTTTTTATTTCTTTGGCCACCTAGTATAAATGTGAAAGTAATGCTGCTCTTACTAGTACAATTTTACCTACTCTTCTCATCTCTTCTTGCTTTCCAGGAGAGTAACTTGCTATTCAGGCTATAAGGTGTTCGTTTTGGTACTTAGAGAAAACCTGGGAGAAGAGGCTGTCTATGTGGCAGGTGCCTTTTGCAATTAGTGTTCTGCAGCGTCCACCAGAAAGCAAAGGTCTAAACATTTTTCCTCCAGGTCTGTCCAGGTACAGAGCAATGTAAACTGGCCCGAGTTCTGTAGAAGTTCTGGCTGCAGGAAAATGCAGACATACATTCATTTATATTTTCAAAGTTCACAGTGGTCATCTTTCATGACAGTAATGGTTAACTGCATCAATTCAGTCCTTTATCTAATCTGTTATTTGGAGAAACAAATACTCCTAGTATCTCAGATGCACTTATAGAAGGGAGAAAGGAAAGAACAAAACTCTAACATCTGTTTTTACTGCTGGGTTTAACTGCAAAATTCATTCTCCCCACTTCATTCTCCATCTTTCGACATCCTAAAGCTAATTCTCAGCACCATCAGGTGGTCCAGTGTCTGTCTTGAGCAGGGATGTCAAAGTCAAATACACCAAGGGCCAAAAACCCAAATTTGCTACAAGCTAAGGGCCGGTCTGGTTCAACATTTATTATGTTGAAATATGTTGAAATGATTGCACATAGCCTCTTGAACCAAGAGCTAACACAGTGTATATTGTTTAATAATTAAATGAATAAAGCAATATTTTGTTATCGCTGTCAGTAACCTCAAGGGAAAATATTTTCAACAGGCTAACAGCCAAAAATTTAACTGTTTCTTAAATATGTTTCTTAATATCAAGATAAATACATAAATTAAAGTGCATGCATTATAAACTGAAAATGCATTATTGTGCTGCTCTATGATGTTCATATTCTTGCCTTTGTGTGTTTCTGAGAAGTTTGATAATGCCTTCCTAGACTTAGTTACTAAGATAAGTATAAATATCATCCTGGGGGCCGCAGATAAGTAATTCACGGGCCTTGACTTTGACATATGTGGTCTAGAGGAAGCCTGCACCCCTTTTTCTGCAACAGTAGCCTTTTCATTTACACCACCCCACAACAACCAGCCACTCTCCCAGCGTTGTTGGAATCTGCAAATTAAGATGGATAATTAGTTAATGATGCAAAACTCTCTGAAGCATCTACTTCATCAAGCATATTCTGTGTCATCACAATAACTTTCTATGTACAGAAAAGACAAGTAGGCTGTGTCACTTCAGCAGTTTGTGCTGGATCAGTAGTAATGATATGGGCTGTCAGGGCTGTGTGTGCTTTAACAGTATGAACAATGTCCCTGTTGGTAATGAGGCCAGTGCTTCAGTGTATTTACAAGAATTAAAAACAATTCTGAAATTAAAACATTTTTAATCTAAACTTTTAACTGAAATACATCTGGGCTTTTTCAAACTTTTGCTAAACTTGCACTGATTCAGCTCATAAAGACGCAGTATTTTTAGGCATATAATGCTACTTTACAGCACAATCAAGAAACTATGTTACCCTTTAAAAAATATTTCTGAAATTGATCACAACAGTCTTCACAACATGCCTCCTCTCTTGACCCTTTAACAATCTTTAACCAGCATTGCACTGAGAAATAGCTCATATAATGACCCCACCTGTGTAGTTCCACCAGGTGTTTGCTAATTGCTGCTGGCTAGTCTGAAGGAGCAGAGTGGGAGATGATTACTCTGTGAGGCTGAAGCTTGGGAGCTGCAGCTTCAATGAGAAGTGCCTTAAACGTGGTAGTTAGTCCACCAAGACATTTTGCACCTGTGATTAATTGACATTCAAGACTAAAACAATGTTGGGGTTTTTTGCATGAAAGAATCAAGGCAACGCCCCAGGTATGTTTTTGATGATAGCAGTATACAGAATAGCAGAATAACATAACACAATGTAAAGTTCAAAGAAATTAATTTTGCATGATATTGCCCCTTTATTAGGGACAGTGAAGCCTTTGGACAGCCTGCATGAGAATAGTGATACAGTTCTGTCAGACCTATTGAATTGGGGCATTCCCGATACATATTTTATTGATATGACCAAGTGCAGCTCTCAATCCCAGCTGCATGTTCTGAGACCCTCATGGTCCTGCGACCAGGGCTGGTTCTTGTTGTAAAACACATAGCCCAGTGCTCCAGCTGCTGAAGGCAGAACTGCTGCAACAGCAGCAAAATAAAAGGGGAAAAATGTAAATTACAGGATCTAAGCTCAGGCCATATTGAGGCATTAGTGAAATTCTTATCAGGCAGGGCTGCAAAGTGGAGACAGATTTCAAACAGCCTTTCTTGAATGGCTATTTTTTGTGACTCCACATCTGTTTAAACAAACCCTGAGCCTGATGGAAGAGTGAAGAGGACTATTGATGTATCAAAGGGAGAACACTTCAGTTTGGGAGAAATGCAACATTGGCCTCACATTGTCCAATATACTGCTAATATATGGAACTTAGACCAGGTACCTCAGCCTTGGAGTAATACATGTCTTTCCGGGTGTGGTCACAATAAGCATACATTGTTGTCTTATCCCTGGGTCTTTATTGACTTTTTCCTTACACCTTTCAAACCTCAGGTTGAAGATGAATTAGTGGACACATAAAAGAGTTGGGATATTTCAGTGTTTGCTGATTTGTCCCTCTAACCCTGATTTCATTTTAGTAATATGACTCTTTATGCTTGAAAGTTTTTAAACCCACTGAGGTGGCAAGACACACATTTTTTAGGGCATAAAGTCAACCACTGTGACTTTGTTCTACTGCTTGCCAACAGTTATGTAGTATAGAAAGTGACTGAAACTGTCTTTGTTTTGCTTTAGACAGTATTGAAGACTACATTCAGAATACATCATCGAACGTGGAATCAGCCAATCAGGAGCTTGCCAAGGCCAATCAGTATCAGGTAACCAATCAGCTGTGCTGCACTATAGTCTACTGCATATTACTTTGCATCATATTTGTTTGTTCTAACTGTATAGTACTGGGCCTTTGCATTGTAATGCAACCTAAGGAAGCTTAGCCTGATCGCCCATGCAAACAGAGACTTAGCTCACTTGATTGCACAGCTTTATCACCCGCTCACCACTTCCCAACTACCACCCCCAGAATATCTGCACAGATGATGTAATTTCAAGTCATCCTTTACTAGCTTCCACATTCACTTCAATAAATTATACGTAGAGAGAGGAAATATAAAGTGCTTGCCTTAAGTCTTGCAGAATAACAGAACAACATATATAATTTGTAGTACATGAGTGCGTTTTCCCGAGATAATAATTATACATTAGGGGTGTTGGCCCAGACGTACGTTAAATGAGAGTAAAATGTGTTATTAGGCAACAACTGCTGTTAGAAATTAGGCAGGAATGTTCTTTGTTCTGTTCTGTGGATTGGGGTGGTAAAAATTTCCACTTCAGAGCACATTCTGGAGAGATGTTTTAAAAGATGCCCCAGGGTCTGCTTCTGCACTTTCTGTTCAAGGAAATATGTGTATATTGTGGCATTCTTTCAGGAACTATGGCAGTTGGCTGTGCTCTATGTGTCTATGCTATGTAAGCCTCTAGCTATAGTAAATAATGTATTGACTGAAGTGTCAAGGGGTTCATAAAGTATACAACTCTTTAAATGCACTACACATCTACAGAATTGCATCACATCTACCTGTTTGTTCAGATAAACACAGAAAAAACTAATGTGCTTTTCATGCATAATGATATTCATATTTATATATGTTTGGTCTCTCTTAGTTATAGCAAATGACAATCATTAAGTCTATTTAAATTTAAAAGCTTTAAAAGTAAATAAATCCACTTTTATGTCCCAAACAAATTTAATTAATAGAAGATCATGAAAAATCATTTTGACTTAAAGGGACTTTTGTCTTTAAGTGCAGATCTCATGAAAGATTAAGTAGTAGAAGTAGAAACTCTATTGGCATATTTAGTATTTTCACTCCAAAAGACAGATTATTTTTCCAGCTCCAGTGATGTATATTAATATTTGTTGTCTGAGCTAGCAACTTTTTTAAATAAATATTGCTTTAACTAGACATTCACTGACAGCTGACATTTTAAAAGCTATTCCCAATGATCACTTAAAATACGAAACAGTCCTACCTTTCACTATAAAATTAGATCAATTAAAAATGCACATCCTTCTGCATTTTTTAGAATCAGTGTGACGTTTTTTATTGACAATTCATAGAGTCAAAATTTGAATTAGTCAGAATGCTTAAAATTTAAGCATTGCAGATTTCGACTGTGTTTCAGAACCACGACTGGCCAGGGCTATAGGATAGAACAGTTCCTTCCAAATCTTATAGTATATTATTAAGCATGTTGGAAATACACAAATCTGTACCAACAATGTCTGGTAAAGCCCCATCCGTTCAGCAAAAAAATACAGTCATGTTTTATACAAGAACACATCCAGAATGTTTAAGTACATCAGTTACATCATTATACATCAGTGGTGTGAGAGAAAAGTCCAAATCCAGCTGCATGAAGCATTTTACTGGTCCAAAACACTGAACAGAACATAAATTCAGACAAGTTCATGTCTAAATTTGAGTTTTTAAAAAATGACTTTTTTTTTTTATTGTCATAAACCATGAAAGTTTTCTTTTTCAGCAGAAATGTTACATAAAAAAGAAAGTAATTTTTAGTTTCTTTTATTTAAAATTTTTAAGTCTGGTTTATTTTGCTTTTGTTTTCATTTGTGTTTACATTATATAACAATTTGAATAAACACTATTAGATATTTACTTCTGAAATTTAGAAATTAGAAAATAAAAGTGGAAAAACTGGAATTCAGAGAAGAAAACAGAAATATAGAAAAATAAATCAGATTTTCTGGAACCATTAGAGTCATTTACTGCAGGAAATAATTTGATATTTCATAACAGAATACAATAAAATCTTATCTGATATAACAACAGGAAGGGCTGGGTGATAAATCAGTTTTATTAATCAAATTTACTGATTTTGAAGATTTCATTTTTGGAAAATTGTGATTTTTCTTTCAAGAACTACATAGTTGAAAGTGATGCTAGCCCACCCACAGCCATTCATTTTCTTTGACAAGCTTGTTTTGTAGGTTTTGTTTAGCTAAACTTTGAACTCAGGTCAATTGAAAATCGGATTCGGTATGAAAAAACTGAAGAATTAATTAAGCCTTATTGCCCAGCCTGAACAAGACATTAAATTAATTTATATAATTTAAATATTTACTTAAAGGTTTGACAAGATGAAGGGCCCAAATCACAAGACAAAGGAATATAATGGCAAATTAAAAATAAGAACTTATAAAGCTGAAAATTCTACAGAAATCCGAAACCAAAGAAAAATCATAAATATGTGGCAAAAGAACTGTGGCCTCTAAAAGTAAACTCAATCATCATTCAACAGGAATTTCTAGTTAGCAGCACTGCTGTACGGCGATGAAGTAAGCCAAAAGGTTTACTTTATATCTTGATGGTTTCTTAGTAAAAACAGGGTATAACTTTGTGGGTTTAATGATGGCATGGTTTCCTCATCCAGGCATCGGATTTCCCCAGTTACTCCTATCTCCTCTCACAACCTGAAACATGTGGGAGAGGTTCATTATTTTCTTTAAATGACCTTTAAGGGTGCGCGTGTGTGTGTGTGCGGGCGTGTACGTGCGTGTGCATGAATGCATGTACAGGTATGTGTTTACTCTGCCTCCTGCCTGTTGACTGTCAGATGGGCTGGATTTAGATGTGCACATATTGATTGTTTGCCATCCCCACAGACACATCCACTGGCTGTGGCCCATTTCACAAAATGTCTGATCTGTTTATTCAGTCATCTCCTAATTTTCATAAATTATTGACATCCAATAACCCGCTATATGTGCTATTAAAACAACTATTGAGCTCTCCCCAGCTACTGTCTTAACAGCAGTGCTTTCTGTCTTTCCTCCCAAGCTGCTGCTCCACTTCCAAGCGAACAAATGAGCGAACAGCAACAGCTTTCCCATTAATTGTCATTTCATTATCTCAAGGAGAACTGAGCCGTGACGGAGCTCACACCGAGCAATTTAGCTCTCCACCAATCCAGACGTTCGCTGTCTTTCCAGAGGCAAACCAGCTGAATGGGAAAAAGAAACAACAAAGCCGAAGACACACAAAGTCAGGGAGACAAACTTCCAAACTGATCTGTGACGCACCCAAATGGAACAGCTTTATTCATACTTTAGGACTTAAGAATTGTCATTTTTTTTCTCAGTCATATTAATGTCTGCTGTTCTGCATCACTCAGTGCACTTACCATGTGTCTTTCATGTTTGTCACACTTTTCATATTTCAGACTGAAATATCTAATTTCTTTTTATACTAATACCTACTTCTTTCTCTGTTAGTGTTGATTCCTCCACTGTCCTCTAGAAAATTCTGGCAAAAAGTAATGGACACCAAATTTCACAAGTTCTGTTGATGGCGATCAATGGCTTACAAGTTCATACACCTCTGTTAAAATATTAGTCAGTGATGAATTATCTCAAAATGTTTCCTGAATGTAATGTGATATATCATGAATAAACACATCATTATGTTTGTTCTGAAATGATCAACAATTTTTAACATGTTGACCACATAAATATCAATATTTTTTAAGTGGTAGCATTTATCTGGAATACATATCACTAAACCAAAACCATAATAATAAACAGTAAAAGGTTGAATTCTAAACTTTTCTGGAGGTCACCACAGAGCATGGCTTTGTGTGGCAACTTAGCAGAAGTTGAACTTTTTTACCACAGCCAATCTGCAAAACATCAAATATGCTGATGGTGTTTAAGGTTTTTACTGCATCGCTGATGATTATTATTGCAGGTCGTTCCTTCATGATGCCAAAATTGGCCATGAAGTCTATGTTTATTTGCTGCTCCTCTTAAATATCATAATCAGGGTGGCTGCAAGGGACTCAGAGGTTTATGTAAATTGCACATAAGCCGATTACAAGTGAGGCAGTTCCGCTGTAAATATTATTTATTTTATGGACTTCCAATTTTCGCAACCAGATGTGATAAAGAGAGAAGAATATTATGGTCATTATCATTGCATTACATTACTGGATTATGAGGACATTTCTCATGTCACACAAGATTTTTATACCTTCTCGAGACTGAGGAAGCATTTCCAACATGAGATAGTTGATTAGTTGGGCAGGACCATAAACTGCCCATCATATAGCAGTATGATGTTGTGTTAAGACGTTAAGTAGTCACAAATATTTTGGTAAAGTGTGGAAGTATTTTTATCTCTGCCAGAACCACTTTCCTCCTGTAGGGGTGCCACAGCTTTCCTGCGTCCTCTTTGATACTTCTTGAGCTTCTTATTTGCCTTCTGCTGTAAGAAGGCAGATAAGGATCTTCATGTCAATTGAGTTGCTGTGGCATGGATTAAAAAGTCAGTCCATGCTTTTTTAACCCTCCAATGTGGTGAAATGACATACATTCTGCAAAGATGAGTGGTCAAATGTACATTTAGAATCTGCATTTTGTGTTTAAATTGGTTTAATGTTCTGAAACACTAAAGTGCGACAAACATGGGAAAAAAAAGGAAATCAGAAAGGATCAAACTCTTTTACACACCGCAGTAGTTGACTGGTTGAGTTTAAGGCTATGTTTAGTTTGAGGTTGTGCCTAACATAATGTTGATGTATCATCAGATCGTGCTACACTACATGTTTTCAATAGAGATAGATAGACAGCAGACAGCAGTCGTGACCAGCTTGGTTACTGCAGGATGCCTTTGGACGCAAAAAAAAAACTAATTCATCAGCCACTTCATCACCATTCTGGACAGTTGGCATCAGGCTGGCGAATGCTTTTCACATTGGTGAAATATGGCTTGTAATAATAGAAGTGAGCATTTGTTTGTGGATTGTAATTTGGATTTCAGTTGGTCAAATGTGATAACCAGATAATGATCCACTGTAAGACCAGACACTCAGACTAACAATATTCAAAATTATCATTCACCTTCCTCAGAAATTTTAGATAACAATAAAATTAAATATAGATATAGATATGGGCTGTAAACATATCGGTTCCCCTGGCAACCGGTTTTTCAACTCAAAACTTTCTCTGAACTTATGATATACCAGAACATATGAGAAATTCCCATTGGATAATTTAAGTTTGATTTTCAAACTGTGTGATAGTGTATATTTCTTCTGATGATTTGTGCCACCCATCTGCCCTGAAGTGCCAGCACTAAGGAGACACACTCTGGAAGATTAGGTTGTTGGTGATAAGAGCATCCCATCTTTTTGCTGCTTTGTCCTCCCCGCTTAGTCTGCATAGCGCTCTGTAAAATTCCAGTTTAAAAATACTTCAACACTTCCTTTGTTATGTTAAGCCCTTTCTTGTTCCTAAATCTACCTTATTTATTTTTGTGTACTCCCCAAATAACAGCAGCATTGGGATGAAAAAGAGAGGGAAGGGCATATGGGAGGAGCGGGTGGGGAGGAAGGAGGAAAGAGAAGAGAAAAAAGGAGAGAGGAAGAGAAAGTTTATAAGGAGTAGTTTAGGAGAAAATGTTTGAGAGAGGCAGGGGAATCAGTGGTGGCCAGCTGCATGAGGGGAGATAGTGGAGAAAGGCTTTTAATTCTCAATCCCCACAGAGCCTTTGAAAATTACCAATCTTCTTATCACAGACGCAGGGCTGCTTATGCAAATTGTTGTGGAGTGGAACGTTTAAACGGAAAATTACTCGACAGCATTTTTTTTTTCTTTCCATCTTCGCTCTTCTCCTCTCTCCCTCTCTCTTCCACACAGAAAGCCTGTTTTGAGTCTCAGATAAGAAGATGAATTGCTCTCTCCGTGCTTTGAAGCGCGTCAGGATTTAAAGACTCCAGCCTCGGCTCTGGTCTAACGCCGCTGCTCCGCTGCCTTTGTAGCAGAAAACAGGCTGGGAAAAAATGGAAGAAAAAGCGTTTCAAAACAACATAGATTCTGTGCTCCAACACATCGTCACCGCCCGAGGAGACAAGCAGCTAAGGAAAATATAGAAATATCCCCATAACCCTGCTCCTCAATGTTTCTTACAATTTTTCTGCACACTACAGCTAACATGGCTTTTACTTTTACACCACAAGCTAATTAACATGTAAATTTGAATTTAATTTGTTTTGTGAGACAAATGGCTTTCATTTTTAGAAACTCAGTTTTCCCACTGTTGATAAAGAAATTAAATGAAAAACAACTTTTATTTTGATGGTAAAACTGTTGAAAAGTTTTTGTTTTTATTTTTCTGTTTTGATCCCTCTTTCTTCATGAAGTTACAAAGTCATACAATCACTTGGAAATTATTTACACAAATTCAACGTTTTCTCATTTTCACAACAATAAACTTCAGTGTATTGTATAGGCATTTACATTATTCTTTATCATAAAAGTCATAATTGTAAAATTAAATGCTACACTTTAGCAAACACAATCCTAAAAATTGTGACATGGATTTTTATTTAGTCACCTTTACTCCTCTACTTTTCTAACCTTAGATAAAATCTATGCAACTAATTACCTTCTCAACTATGAAAGGATCAAAAGCAAACACATAAATAAATGGTTAAAATACTATTTAAATGTAACATTTTATAAATAAATGTGGTACAAAGTATATTTAATGTCACATACTGGAAATAAATTCAGGGAGCATGATAGATTGTTTTTCCACATGGAGATTTCAGACTCCACTGAGAATCTTGGGATGTTCTGGAGAAGGATTGGCACACTGGTCGGACTCTGCCATCATCAACACATGGTCTTGCTGAAAAATGAAAGCAATGCCAGATGAAAATCAATCTTGTGATATTGCAGAAGTTTATTCAAACAATGCTATGTTGTGCTGTGGTCAAAGTTAAAAGTGGTCCAACCAAATATTAGAGTGTGTGATTTTTTTTTGTGGCAACTTGTATTTGACCTCGTTTTTCAGAGGACTTTCAGGAGTTAATGGAATATGAATGGAACACAAATATGAATTTGGCTGCCTTTTTCAGCTGTTGCTTGCTGACTGCTTCTTGTCCATTCATACTGGAACACAGAGCTAGTGCCACTGCTGCTGGTGTTTATGAAGCACAGCTCTACAGAAAAACTGTGACAGAAGCTTCCATCTACCAGTTGCAGCAAATAGGTGAAACCATGCACATATGTGTTTCTGTGTGTGACAGAGGGGCGAAAGATTATAAAAATTCTGTCTGTCACACTAACTCAAAATCTCTATAAAGGCTGAGCAAAAAATGACAATAAAGCATCATTTATTGTGATGCTTTATTGAATGGATTTTCTGATTTTTGTGTAATTTTTCTACAGGTTGACATAAAAGTAAATTGTATTAACATCACTATATTATTTTTATTTCCTTGCAGTTTTGACCCTATATAAACACAACTACAATCACCATGCCTACATTACTTCTATACATCAAACACCCCATAATCCTTGCATTGCTTTGACTGTTACATAACCAAACAAATACCACTATAAAATATAATGGGCCTACATCGCTTAGCTGACAACTAGATATTGAAGGAATGTAATGTTAGAACATTTACATATATCCTCTTAAAATTGAGATGATTGTTATGCTCTAATGATGAAATATGCTTCTTTTGGTTACAGAGGCAGTTGAGGAAAAGAAAGTGTTACCTTCTGTTGGCCGGAACTTTGATCCTCGCCATCCTCATTCTCATTATTGCTGTTTCAGCAAGAAAATGAAACCTACCTCTTTGGTAAGAGCTATCCCTTTATTAGGATATTAACCTTTAGACTTTTGGTTTTGCATTGAACTGTATCTTGTTCAGCTGAAGTATAGAGCTTGCACTTACTGCTTTTTCACTGCTTTACTTGCTTTACTTACAAAGTGTAACTCTCATGTGGAAAAACCACACAAAGATTATGGCATTTTCGAAGGTGTGATATACCTAAGATTGCATTCTGAATTGCTTATATTGCCCAGATCCTTTTGAGTTCTATGCATGTAATTAAATGATAAGGTGACATGACATAAATATTGAACAGGTACTTAAATGATATGGTCATGAATTTTGTCTTGATTTGGCTTATGCAGAAAAAGAATTATTTATGTTCTGTTGTAGTGTTGATGCTTCACTTTCCTGTTCAGCTGAAATAATTTATTTCACTCAGTGATTGGCATAAAATGTTGGTTCTGGTCAAAGCAGTAAAGGTTTCTGCCTTGTATAATACATAGAAGTTTCAGACCCCTTGTACATTTTGTCACATTACACATGCAAACTCCAATGCAATTTACTGAAATGTTATGTGATAGAGTATCAAAAAGTAGTTCGATGTAATAAAATGCTATAAATAAGTAAACATCCCATGCAAAATGTTTTGTATTTTATTTCTCTCACGCCCATCTCAATAAATAAAAGGAGGTGCATCCACTTATACCACAGAGCAGAGAAAATATTATTAATGATGTACAAAATCTCTCCTTGAAATTGAAAGATCTTGCCACTGGCTTCACACTGAAGTCCTACAACTTTTAGAGGTGTCCCTTGTCCTACACACTTAAATAAAATGTCGAAATTGCCTCACTAGTGTGCAGTCAAGCTCTACAGAGTTCTGCTAATGAACTAATATAGGAACCCAGAGAGCTGAAGCAGAGAGACATCCAAAAGTTGCAGGACTTCTCAAGGAGCGAAGTTTGAAAACAATGCCTTACACTTTCATCAACAAATCACATTTATGCTGGTGTTTTTAAATCTATAGGCAAGTCAAGATTTTAGTCAGCTCATGAAGTTTTAGTTTATACACCATAAAGCATGTGTATGGTTTATGGATCCTCAAACTTGGTGGGGGATCCTACTTCAGTGGTAGGGGAGGAGCCAGCACCGAAGTGTGAGATTAAGCCGTATCAGCTGGGCGTAGTTGGACTTATGTTTACGCACTCTAAGGTGTGGGTTTGAATCCCATTTCTGACAAATTTCTTTTGCTTTCAGGTACAGTTGGCAGCACGTTTCTGTAGTTTCAATGTAATTAAGACAGCTAGAGAGGAGAATTACTGTTTTTCTCAGTTTCTTTAGTGCATTTGTGAGAACAGAATTGCAATTCTCCCAACTACTTGTTCAGTCTTGCCACATGGAAAAGATGGGCTCTTTTAGGTCAGAAGTCAACCTCTGCCTCAACCCAAGGGGTTTAAATATATTGGTTTTCTGTTCATAAGTAATGGAAGAATAGTACATTTGAACAAATGACCATATTCCCATGATTGGACACAACTGTTAAAGTCACTAAGTTGTGGATCAGAAAATATCATTATCAGGCGACATATGAACTCAGATTTCAGGAGCAGATTAAAGCCCACCATATTGTGTATTCTGTCAGTTCCAGCTGACCAGAATAATTCTTGTTAATCTTCAGTGGTAAACATGAAGCCAGATTTTTGAATTCCTGATGTGATAAGAACAAATTATTAAAACTGATGCTTTGGTGAAGAGCTGTGGTAAAAAAGAAAAAAAAAATCATTTTATATTTTTTTATATTTGCTCAAAGCAAATCTGGGACAGCAATTTTAAATATGAGTCAGTGTATCCTCTTTGTCAAAAGGTCAGAGTTGATCATGCAGGCCTGTTAAGTGAACTCAGAATAATTAGCCATTGCTAAAAAGAGTATGCAGAATATTTAAGTTAGAGACAATTGGTTTGAGTAGTGAATTCTCCTGTTTGATAAGGTCACCTTTAGAAGGCAATGTTCCATTTACCATCAATGAATTATCGCTTCATGTCATTCCTTTTTCCTTATAATTAAAGTTCCAAGAATGGCAGCCGCATTTAGGATTTTTTTGGTATACTTAGAAATTTGAAAACAAAATATTGTGTGCTATAATTTATGGCTGCATAACATGACTGTTTTTAATCTGGGACAGGCTACATGAAGTCATAATACTTGGGAAATGTGCATAATTATAAAGATTAAACCTTAAATATATTCACCTAATTTTTAAAAGTAACCCTTAATTCATCCTAAACATTGTATTTAAACTGTTTTGAAATTTCTCATTATTAAACAGTTCTTATTTTGGTTCAGTACTTTAAACTGAACCAAAGTATTTATACCCTCATGTTGCTCTGAAGTGGGAAGTTTTTTTTTTTTCCTCCACATGTTCAATAGAAGACATTACTGCTTGCATAAAACATTGATTGTCTTTTATCTTTTTTCTGGGCTAGAAAAATAGTAACCCAGCAAGCAAAGAGCTCTATTCATAAAAAAGCATGTTGGATCAATGGCCCTGTGCTGAGGCTCAGTAATTGATGGTCAATCCTAAAGTGACTTGACATAACATTTGCAGAAAATAAAAGAAACAAACTTGTTGTGAAGTGGACTGTTATCTGGTTTCATTGTCTGACTGTATTCACCTGAACACAGAAGAACTGAGCTCTTCACTTCATCTCACCTGAACTGTTGGCTACAATTTTAGGTCCTTAACAGCAGCATTTTGAAGTATAATTCACTTGATAAAGAGTGAGGTATTTGCTATGAAAACACATTATCACCCCGTCAGTGCCAAAACCAAGTTTAATATTTGGGTTGCACTGAAATCAAATCCTCTGTAGCATAAAAATGCTTCCCGTTCTGGAAATGATGATGAAAGGTATGGTAACTTTAATGCTATTTACTGCAGTGTTTTACATGTCACCAAGACTCTGATAATGCTTTAGGTGTTCTAAGAAAACCCACCAGACTGCATTGAGTCACTCCTCCTGGACGCACACATAGACCATCACATGTATTGTGTCCTAAACCTATTATATTTGGGAAAGGTATTTGCACTCAGTCACTATTTTATTTCTTTGTATTTTTGCTGTCAGAGAAAATGTTTCTTTCTTCCAATCTTCCAGTTGTGAATAAACATGATTTTTTCAGTCACATTCTCCACTCAAATCACTTTACACTAGAGTCATGTGCACCTAGCTGCACTCAAACCAATACCCAGATCACAAGATGACATGGGGTAAAGTGCCATGTCCAGGAACATATTGAAATGCAAAAGCTAAAATCAAACCTACAACCTTATTCTTGCAAGATGACTCCACCTACTTTTTTTGTTTTGTTCCTAAACAAAAAAAATAAATTGTAAATCTCTTCATAATCTTGATAGAAAAAGCTTATTTTTGCTGGTTAACCTAAGTGCATTCTAAAGTATTGTGAAAAAGTATGATAAACATATTTTACAGCAAATTTACTAGATGATATGTGTTATTCTAATTGTAGTTCAATCACTATACATTCATAATTAACTTTGTGCAGCCAGAAAATAGCTACAGCAACAAAAACAATAGTACTGCATAAATTATTTAAATACAAGTTCATCTTATCGACTCATTTTCTAAGGAGAGTAATAGCACACATTGCAAAATCAAAACCTTCCAAGTAAATATATGCACACAATGTAATGTCAATCATTCATGACAAACATGTTGGAGCCGCACCTTCTCCAATTTTTACAGTATATTTCAAACCAACAAATACATCATTAATGGATGTCTGGGTGCATTTTAACTTCATTCATTTTAACACAATATTGAAGACTATACTGGTTGCAGATTTATCCATTATGCTATTTTGCCACATGTATTTCAAGCAGGATTTGACTGCTTCTGTATTTACTCAGATCTCAGATTAGCAGCACTTCATGTTTATGAAAATAGACCAAAATTTGTTTTAGCAGATGAGGCAGGATTACAACAAATCTTTGTGTTTGTGTAGGAGGGGAGAAACCCTAAGTATTATTATTCCTACTGGAGGAAAATGCTTTTACCCACTAGCACAGTCTTGTCTCAGCACAGCCGTAATAAGTCACACTTAGAGCTTTCCATCAAACATTTGGATTTTAGACACACTTTAATCTCAGTGAAACGACTGCCTCACTGTGTTTGTTAAGCTGGTATTATAAGCAGGAGTAAGCAACTTTTCTCACTGCTCTGGAACTTACTGTCGCTGGCATATTATGCAATTTATAACATCAATTCCACAATAATTGTTAAAATTGAGAAAATAATTATTAATCTCAATCTCATTTCATAAATGATCTTTAAAAGCAGGATATATCCATGCTGAATTTCATTTATAGGCAAGTCAAAACTCAGGTCTTTGAATGACTTGCATCCAACATAATCCTCTTTATGAGACTCTTATACAACAAAAGAATGTCTTCAGTCAGAGGCTTCTTCAGATTTGCTTTAATACTCACCACTACAGGAGCTCCATCCTCCCCACAGCCATCTTCTTCTACCCTGGGCTGCTGTGGGCAGGTGTGGGGTCTGGAATCTGGTCCCTGGGTGGTCTGAGGCATAGTCTGGCTTCTCGTAGATGCAGAGTCAGGTCTTTATTCGTGGGCCTATGAGCAATTCATTTTACAGCAGGTCACAATAAAATAACAAAAACAAGAACACACCAACAGTTAATATGAAACATGAAATGTGCCACACTAAGATCCCTTAGTGCCACACTCAATGGAGGTTAAAACACAAAATTTGTTAATCAAAAGTAAATGACTGTATGACAAAAGGTGAATAAATATTAATAAATCTTAAAAAAAAATCTGCACACCATTTAAACTGAGCGGTTAAATTTTTTATTTTTTTTTCCATGAACTTAAAGACTAACAACTCCTCTCGCTGACTACATTCCACGTGTTCGAATTGAAAAAGAAAAGCGAGCATTCAGTGTCATGGTTCCTACAGACTGGAATCAGCTCCAG